AACTGGGACAAGGGGACAGAGCCGGGCTGAGAGGCAGAACCGGGCCGAAGGGACAGAACCGGGCCGAGAGGGCAGAACTGGGACGAGAGGCAGAACCGGGCCGAGAGGCAGAACCAGGACAAGGGAACAGAACCGGGACGAGAGGCAGAACCGGGACAAGGGGACAGAACCGGGCTGAGAGGCAGAACTGGGACAAAGGGACGGAACCGGGTCAAGAGGCAGAACCGGGACAAGGAGATGGAACCGGGCCGAGAGGGCAGAACCGGCTGAGGAGACAGAACTGGGCTGAAGAGACAGAACCAGGCCGAGAGGGCAGAACTGGACCAAGGGAACCCGGCTGAGGAGACAGAACCGGGCTGAGAGGGCAGAACTGGGCCGAGAGGACAGAACCAGGCTGAAGAGACAGAACCAGGCTGAGAAATCAGAACCGGGCTGAGAAGAGGACCTGAGTGAGGAGACAGAACCAGGCCGAGGAGACAGAACCGGGCTGACAGGACAGAGCCGGGCCAAAGGGACCCAGCTGAGGATACAGAACCGGGCTGAAAGGACAGAACCGGGCCAAAGGGACCCAGCTGAGGAGACAGAACTGGGCTGAAAGGACAGAACCGGGCCAAGGGGACCCAGCTGAGGATACAGAACCGGACCGAGGAGACCCAGCTGAGAGACAGAACCGGGCTGAGGACACAGAACCGGGCCAAAGGGGGACCCAGCTGAGGATACAGAACCGGGCTGAAAGGACAGAACCGGGCCAAAGGGACCCAGCTGAGGACACAGAACCGGGCTGAGAGGACAGAACTGGGCCAAGGGGACCCAGCTGAGGATACAGAACCGGACTGAGGAGACCCAGCTGAGAGACAGAACCGGGCTGAGGATACAGAACCGGGCTGAAAGGACAGAACTGGGCCAAGGGGACCCAGCTGAGGACACAGAACCGGGCCAAAGGGGGACCCAGTTGAGGATACAGAACTGGGCTGAAAGGACAGAACCGGGCCAAAGGGACCCAGCTGAGGACACAGAACCGGGCTGAAAGGACAGAACCGGGCCAAAGGGGGACCCAGCTGAGGACACAGAACCGGACCGAGGAGACTGAGCCCAGCCAAGGGGAAAAAGGAACCGGGCCCAAGGGACAGAACTGGGCTGAGGGCACGGAACCGAGCCTGGCTGAGGGGAGAGGCTCGAAGAACTGGACTGGGGGGGCAGAACCGAACCGGAGCAGGCCCGGCTGAGGGCCCGGGCCATGGCGGAGCCGCTGCTGTGGAGGACCTTCTCTCGGTTACGGGGCCGGGAGCGACCGCGTCGGAAGAAATGGGACGGCAAAGAGAGAGGTGCGGCTGTGGGATCTGGGGGGGGGTCATCCTGGGGGCCCTACTGTACCCACGGGGAGCCCCATCACCTCCGGTGCCCCTATAAGGGACCCCAGGGTCACCCTGAAGTCCTTCTGTCCCTCCAGAAGGGACACCAGGGTCACCCTAAAATCCCTTCTGTCCCTACAGGGAACCCCATCACCTCCAGGTCCCTTCTGTCCCCCTACAAGGGACCCCAGTGTCACCCTGAAATCCTTCTGTCCCCACAGGGAACCCCATCACCTCCAGGTCCCTTCTGTCCCCCTACAAGGGACCCCAGTGTCACCCTAAAATCCCTTCTGTTCCTTTATAAAGGACCCCAGTGTCACCCCAATGTTCCTTCTGTCCCCCTACAAGGGACCCCAGTGTCACCCTAAAATCCCTTTTGTCCCTCTATAAAGGACCCCAGTGTCACCCTGAAATCCTTTTGTCCCTACAGGGAACCCCATCACCTCCACGTCCCTCCTGTCCCCCTATAAGGAACACCACTATCACCCTAAAATCCCTTCTGTCCCTTTATAAAGGACCCCAGTGTCACCCTAAAATCCCTCCTGTCCCTACAGGGAACCTCATCACCCCCAGGTCCCTTCTGTCCCTCTATAAGGGACACCACTGTCACCCTAAAATCCCTTCTGTCCCTCTATAAAGGACCCCAGTGTCACCCTAAAATCCCTTTTGTCCCCACATGGAACCCCATCACCTCCAGGTCTTTCCTGTTGCTCTATAAAAGACCCCACTGTCACCCTAATGTCCCTCCTGTTGCTCTATAAGGGACCCCAGTGTCACCCTAAAATCCTTCTGTCCCTCTATAAAGGACCCCAGGGTCACCCCAATGTTCCTCCTGTTGCTTATAGGGACCCAGGGTCACCCTGAAATCCTTCTGTCCCCACAGGGAACCTCATCACCTCCAGCTCCCTTCTGTCCCCCTACAAGGGACCCCAGTGTCACCCTAAAATCCCTTCTGTTCCTTTATAAAGGACCCCAGTGTCACCCCAATGTTCCTCCTGTTGCTCTATAAGGGACCCAGTGTCACCCTAATGTCCCCCCTGTCCCTACAGGGAACCCCATCACCTCCAGGTCCTTTCTGTCCCTCTATAAGGGACACCACTGTCACCCCAATGTTCCTCCTGTTCCTCTATAAGGGACCCAGTGTCACCCTAAAATCCCTTCTGTCCCTACAGGGAACCCCATCACCTCCAGGTCCCTCCTGTCCCCCTACAAGGGACCCCAGTATCACCCTAAAGTCCTTCTGTCCCTCCAGAAGGGACCCCAGGGTCACCCTAAAATCCCTTCTGTCCCTACAGGGAACCCCATCACTCCAAGGTCCCTCCTGTCCCCCTACAAGGGACCGCAGTGTCACCCTAAAATCCCTTCTGTCCCTCTATAAAGGACTCCAGTGTCACCCTAAAATCCCTTCTGTCCCTACAGGGAACCCCATCACCTCCAGATCCTCCCTGTCCCATCTAAGGGACCCCAGTGTCACCCTAATGTCCTTCCTGTTGCTCTATAAGGGCCAACAGTGTCACCCTAAAATCCCTTCTGTGTTCCCACAGGGAACCCCATCACCTCCATGTCTTTCCTGTCCCTCTATAAGGGACCCCAGTGTCACCCTAATGTCCCTCCTTTCCCCAGAAGGAACCCCATCACTCCCAGGTCTTTCCTGTCCCTCTATATGGGACCCCAGTGTCACCCTAAAATCCCTTCTGTCCCTCCATAAGGGCCCCCAGGGTCACCCTAAAATCCCTTTTGTCCCCACGGGGAACCTCATCACCTCCAGGTCCTTCCTGTCCATCTATAAGGGCCCCCAGTGTCACCCTAATGTCCCTCCTGTCCCTACAGGGATCCCCATCACTCCCACATCCCTCCTGTCCCTCTGTAAGGGATCCCAGTGTCCCCCTAAAGTCCCTTCTGTCCCCACAGGGGAACCTCATCACTCTGAGGTCCCTCCTGTCCCTCTCTAAGGGACCCCAATGTCAGCCTGGGGTCCCTTCTGCCCTTCCTGCCAACCCAGGGACCCCTCGGAAGGGAGCTCCATCACAGCAGTGCCCCCCCTGTGCCATAAAAAAATGGTCCTTGCTGCCCCCCAGGGATCCCCATCACCCCAGATCCCTTCTGTCTCCCAGGGAGGAGACCCCAATATCACCCCGTGTCCCACCTCCTTTCCCCATGGAAGGTTCCCAGCGTGGCTCTGAAGTCTCTCCTGCCACCCAAGGTACCACCAGCACCCCAAATTCTTCCTGCCCCATAAGCAAGGGGTCCCAGTGTCAGCCCAAGACCCTCCCGTCTCCTAAGGGATGGTCCCCAGTTTCACCTCACGTCCCCCCCTGTACTTCTAAGGGTCCCCTGCTACCCCTCAGTGTCCCCTCAGCGTCCCTCAAGGAAGGGTCTCCAACGTCACCCCGAGGTTCCTCCTGTCCCCTAATGGACCCTCATCACCCCAGGTTCCCCCTGCCCCATAAGGAAGGGACCCCAGTGCCACCCTGGGGTTCTCTCCTGCCCCACTCCAGTAATCCTCACCAACTTAGGGTCCCTTTTACCCCCACCACCCCAGGTCCCTCCTCCATCCTAAGGAATGTCACCCCGATGTCACCCTGGCGACCCTCCTATCCCTTAAGGTACCACCATCACCCCAGATCAGATCCCAACCTATTCCAGAAGGAAGAGACCCCAATATCACCCCAGATCCCTCAAGGAAGAGACCCTAATTTCACCTTGGGGTCCCTTCTGCCCCCCCTGGAGCCCTCCTGATTATTTTTTTTTTTGGGGGGGGGGGCACAGAAGCTGCACCCAAGGACTGCAGGGATTCTGGGTGCCTGATTCAGAAAACCCCACTGCATCCGTGAGAGGGGAACAGGGGGGGGATGCAGGAGGAGGAGTGAACCCCACTGAGGGGTGCAGCCCTGGGTTTTTGGGGTGCAGCAGGACCCAGCTGTGCCCCTCTTTTCCTTCTCCCCCCCCCCAAGCTGAGGGCGGTGGGAACGTAGCAGAGCAGCTGTAAACAACCGGAAATCCCTCTTGGCAGAGGTTTGGGGTAAGGAGGGTGGGTGGATGGAAGGATGCCTGAAGGGATGCTGGGGGAGGGAGGGATGGGGGGGGGGGGGGGGGGGGGGGGGGGGGGGGGGGGGGGGGGGGGGGGGGGTTGAGCCCATCAGCCTTTCCTTCTCCTACAGAACCCCCCCAGCCCGGCCCTGAGCCACTGCCAGACCCCGAGGCGTCGTCATCCCCGGTGAGCCTGGAACCATCAGCATCCCGCAGGCAGAACTGGGCTCGTTTCTCCAGCCGTCATCCACCCCCCAGACCCACCCTGGAAGGGTTGGAACCCAACGAGCAGGACGGAACCAGCAGCACCCCTCCATCAGCTGCTGATCCACCCGGGGATGAACCACAGGAGCCGGTAGAGGAGGCGGATGCAGCAGAACTCGGAGGTGCGGGTCGGAGCCCAGGGCACGGTGCTTATCTACAGAGCCTGGAAAGGAGCAGCCGGCACTGGGTGCTGTCCTCGGGGAAGGCAGCAGGGCTGGATGAAACGGGTGGAAGCGTGGAGATGGAGGTCGGAGCGGGAGGCAGCGAAGGGGAGATTTGGTACAACCCCATCCCAGAGGATGAGGATCCTCCGAAGGAACGCAGGGAGGATGAGGAGAACCCAGGAAATCGCGGCGTGGAGGAGGCAGCTGCTGGCAGGAGCCAGGCTTGTGGTGCGTGGTGGGCCCTGGTCCTTTTTTTGTCACCACCCCAGGGAGCAGGGGTGGTCTGTGTCCTTTCTGTGTCCTTTCTGTGTCCTTTCTGTGTCCTTTCTGTGTCCCCCATCAGGTTTCCCAGGACCCTCTGAGGTCCTCAGACCCAATGATCCGCAATGCCTTTGGAACTTGTTGTCCTTGTCCCCAAGGATGGCACTGTGCGCAGGCTGTGCTCCCCATTCCTTCCCTGTCCCTCTGTGAACCCCGAGGACAACATCCCTCACACCTTATTGTGTCCCCACTGTGTGGCAGGAACTCCTGGACCCCACAGTCTCCATCAACCTCCCTCCTCCCAGGCACATCCCACACTCTTTGTCCCCCGCAGAGGAAGGATCCCCATTCTGTCACTTTGTCCCCAAAGGAAAGAACCCTCCATCCTTGTCCCCCACACTCCCCAAAGCTTCTCTCCATCCCCCAGCACAACCCCAAATCCCTCCCCTCACCCTCCAACCACCCCTTTGTCCCCTGCAGTGTCTCCAGAGGAAGCATCCCTCCCCATTCTGTCACTTTGTCCCCAAAGGAAAGAACCCCCAGCCATGTCCCCCACACTCCCCAAACTCTTTCTATTTCCCAGCACAACCCCAAAATCCGTCCCTTCACCCCCCAACCACCCCTTTGTCCCCTGCAGTTGTCTCCAGACGAAGGAACCCCAATCTGTCATTCTGTCCCCAAAGGAACGAACCCCCCAGTCGTGTCCCCCACACTCCCCAAACTCTATTTCCCAGCACAACCCCAAAATCCCTCCCTTCACCCCCCAACCACCCTTTTGTCCCCTGCAGTGTCTCCAGAGGAACCATCCCTCCCCATTCTGTCACTTTGTCCCCAAAGGAAGGAGCCCCCAGCCATGTCCCCCACACTCCCCAAATTCACTCTATTTCCCAGCACAACCCCAAAATCCGTCCCTTCACCCTGGGGTCCCTGATGGAGGGTCAGAAGGATTTTAGGGTGACCCTGGGGTCCCTTATTGAAGGACAGGAAGGACCTGGAGGTGATGAGGTTCCCTGTGGGGACAGAAGGGATTTTAGGGTGACCCTGGGGTCCCCTATGGAGGGACAGAAGGATTTCAGGGTGACCCTGGGGTCCCTTATTGAAGGACAGGAAGGATCTGGAGGTGATGAGTTTCCCTGTGGGGACAGAAGGGATTTTAGGGTGACTCTGGGGTCCGTTATCGAAGGACAGAAGGATTTCAGGGTGACCCTAGGGTCCCATATCAAAAGACAGGAAAGAGCTGGAGGTGATGAGGTTCCCTGTGGGGACAATATGGATTTTAGGGTGACACTGGGGTCCCTTATGGAGGGACAGAAGGGACTTTAGGGTGACCCTGGTGTCTCTTATGGAGGGACAGAAGGATTTTAGGGTGACCCTGGGGTCCCTTATTGAAGGACAGGAAGGACCTGGAGGTGATGAGGTTCCCTGTTGGGACAGAAGGGATTTTAGGGTGACCCTGGGGTCCCTTATCGAAGGACAGAAGGGACATTAGGGTGACACTGGGGTCCCTTATGGAGGGACAGAAGGATTTCAGGGTGACACTGGTGTCCCCTATTGAGGGACAGAAGGATTTTATGGTGACACTGGGGTCCCTTATGGATGGACAGAAGGGTTTTAAGGTGACCCTGGGGTCCCTTATAGAGCAATAGGAGGAACATTGGGGTGACAGTGGTGTCCCTTATAGAGGGACAGGAAGGGACCTGGAGGTGATGAGGTTCCCTGTGGGGACATAAGGGATTCTAGGGTGACCCTGGGGTCCCTTATGGAGGGACAGAAGGATTTCAGGGTGACCCTGGGATCCCTTATTGAAGGACAGAAGGATTTCAGGGTGACCATGGGGTCCCTTATTGAAGGACAGGAAGGACCTGGAGGTGATGAGGTTCCCTGTGGGGACAATATGGATTTT